CCAGGCGGTTGGCTGGGGGTTGACACTCGGTGCTGCGTTGCCTGCTATGGCCTCCTCAGTAGGCTCTGAGCCCTCAGCTGCCCTGCGTGGAGGGAGGGCAGGGTTGGCGCAGGGCCAGCAGATCACCTGCACTCAGCCGCCCTGTGTCTCCGCAGGTGAAGCAGGAGGAGAACGGCGTGGCACTCAAGTGCTTCCAGTGCGTGGTCCAAGCCCTGGACGCGCTCAGCTGGGAGGAGCGGCAGCTGGCCCTGGCCAGGGGGCTGCTGGCGGGCAACGTCTTTGACTGGGGGGCCAAGGCCGTGTCGGAGTAGGTGTCAGCCGTGCCCAGCCTGGCTCTTCCTTTGCTCTCATGGCCACTCAGAATTGGTTTATTCTGCAGCTCCGTCCTGACCCTGGGCTGCCCCTCCCTAAGCATAGGCACCTGGGGACCTGGGGCTGCAGATCTGAAATCCGGGGCTGACATTTCCAGGGATCAGTCTACACCCGTGTTTGCACAGGGAGTGGGAATTCGGTGGCGTTTCCTGTGCAGGGGGAAGGTGCTGAGCAGAGGGTCAGCCTGCTGTGATGTGTGGGGCGTGTGTTTTCTGGGGTCCATCCAGAGTCCTCTCCTGGGGTCCTTGATCTGTGGGTGACCACAGTAAATGCTTTCCGCAGCAGTTTACCTTAGTGAGTGGGCCTCACGGGGTGCAGGTCCCCTCCTTCCCCAGGGCTCCCCACACATGGGCAGTTGGGCAGGGTCTCCTTGTTCCTCGGGAATGCAGACATAAGCAGGGCTGGCCACGTCCCTGCCACGCCCTTCACGGCTGTCCCCCTGGCAGCCAGTCCATGTGCCGTTAAGGGGTCCTCCCCACTTGACGTGGTGCATGCTCCCAAGGCTGCCAGGCACAGGAGGGCCTGGCCCTACCTCAGAGTCAGCCTGAGAACCTTGCTATGGCATCTGTGGCATCGCTCAGTGGGCCAGTGACCCGAGGCCCGGCTGCAATGGCCATGTGGCCTGGGTGGGGGTCGAGAGCAGCACGTGTGCCCGTGGGGAGGGGGCCTAACTTCTTGGGTGTCCACCTGACCTTTCCTCCTCTATGCAGTGTCCTTGAATCTGACCCCCGGTTTGGGTTTGAAGAAGCGAAGAAGAAGCTACAAGGTATAGCAACCCAGGGCCCTTGGCATCCTGCAAGGGGCCATCTGCATGGGGGACACACAACCCTGCCTTCAGGGCCCAGGAGTAGGGGGACCGGCCCCCAGGACGGCAGAAATGAGTCTCCCCCTCGTGCACCTGATTACTGTCCCTTCTGTCCGCAGAGCGCCCCTGGCTTGTGGACTCCTACAGCAGGTGGCTTCAGAGATTAAAGGTACGAGGAGCTGCCCCACCCTGCCCACAAAGGACAGAGCAGTTGGTGGGAGGTGGGCCCAGGTGGTGGGCCCGGAGGGGCATCAGGCCATCGGGAGGTGGGTGAGGAGCTGCTCCAGAAGCAAGCAGTGCACTTAGTGCCTCGGTGTCCTGGCCGAGAACCTATGTCCACCGTCCCTGTGCCCAGCCTGCCCTCCCACAGTGGCCACTCTGCAACCAGCTGACCTCAGTGCAGAAGTCCTTGGGGCCACCATGCGGGAGGAGCAGGCCCAGGCTCTCGAGGGCCACCCTGTCCCAGCGCCTGCTCTTCCCCGGGACCTCGAGGTCCTGCCAGCCTCTGGGGGGGGCATGGGGGCGGGGGCGTCTGCAGCGCTCAGACGCACTGTTCCCAACTGAACGTCCTGGTTTTGTCTTACAGGGGCCCCCTCATAAATGTGCCTTAATTTTCGCAGATAACAGTGGAATAGACCTCATTTTGGGAGTCTTCCCCTTTGTCAGGGAGCTACTCCTTAGAGGGACGGAGGTGAGTGCAGAGGCCACAGAGGGAACCCTTCCCCGGGCTCCTTGCTCTGGGTGGGCTGGCACCGCTGCGGGCTTCCAGCAGCCGGTAGGTACTGGTGAGGCCAGGAGGGGCCCAGGTGCCTGTGCTGCAGCTCGCTGACCCCCACCCATGGAAAGGTGTTCTCTGCCCACCCGGGCCGAGGTGCTGCCCAGGGCACCCAGGCGAGAGCACTTGCTCTGCCTGTCCAGCGGCCAGGGACTGAGCTGGAGCCTCCCCCTCAGGTCATTCTGGCGTGCAACTCGGGCCCCGCCCTGAACGACGTGACCTACAGCGAGTCTCTCCTCGTGGCCGAGCGCATTGCAGCCATGGACCCCATCATCCAGTAGGTGCTGGGGGCAGCTAGGTGGGTCCTGGGAGGCAGAAGGGGGTCCCCAAGATGCCTCCTCCAGGGCACTGACCACCTCATGCCCTGCAGCTCTGCGCTCCAAGAAGAGAGGCTGCTGCTGGTACAGACAGGCTCCAGTTCCCCGTGCCTCGACCTCAGGTAACCTGGTCCCTCCTGCAGCCCACCTGCCCCAACCTTGGACCTGGGTGGTGGCCTTTGCTCGAGCCTGTGGGCGGAAGGTAGCTCAGACTCAAAGCAGCCATGCTGTGTGGTTCTGGGAGCCTGCCTGGCCTCAGTTTCCCCGAATGGGTGGCAAGGCGCTGTTCCTCTTCACCTCTGGGGGTGGGCGAGTCATGTGATGCCGCCAGAATCAGGCTCAGCTGGCAGCAGAGGTGGAAGGAGCGAGGGCCTCAGGGTCAGCCTTAGGAAGGGACGAGCAGGGTGCAGCTGAGTGCTCCCTGCCCAGCAGGAGGAAGCGGGTGCTAGGTGGGGCTGGATGTAGACGCTTGGGCCCCCCGGGTCTCTGCTGGTCCCTGCCCAGCCTCACGGCCACCTTCCTTCCCAAAGCCGCCTGGACAAGGGGCTGGCCGTGCTGGTGCGGGAGCGTGGCGCCGACCTGGCAGTCATCGAGGGCATGGGCCGGGCCGTGCACACCAACTACTACGCCGCGCTGCGCTGCGAGAGCCTCAAGCTGGCAGTGGTCAAGAACGCCTGGCTGGCTGAGCGGCTGGGCGGCCCGCTCTTCAGCGTCATCTTCAAGTATGAGGTTCCAGCCGAGTGAGGCCGGGCCGCCGGCTGGCCCAGTCAGGGCTGTGCTCTTCCTCATGAGGAGCCTGCGTTCACCCGGAGCGTTTGCACCCTGCTGGCGACTGACAGCGTGGGTGCCAGGCCGTGACAGAGCTGTCCTATGAGACACTTGGGCTGGAGTGTATTTAACTGTTAGATAATCTTTTATACACACACACACACACACACATATAAATATCTAAGTACGTACACAGGTCTGCTGGCGTGCGTGCCTGGGGATAAGGTGCCAGAGGCCACAGGGCCAGGCCACATCCCCGCTGACCCCCGGGCCCAGGAGCCATCCTCCCGCCTCCAGGGGCACGCGTGCCTGCCTGCACATCTGTCTCCTGTCTCCTCCCATCCACTTTGCTCCTGGGGACGCAGCACTCCTGGCTCGAGAGCCACAGAGAGGAGGCTGAGATGACATTGATGGCCCTCAAGGGCTCTTGGAGCTGACACTAGCTCGGAGCTGCCATGTGGGTTTTGTTGCTGGGGCCTGAGCTCAGCCTCAGAGTGTGGTAAGAGGCTGCAGTACAGCCGACCAGTCCTCTGCGTGTGAACCTGAGGGGTTCAGCACCCTGCACAGAGCTCCCGCCTGGAGTGGTGTGGCAGGCAAGCTGTGTGTGCTCAGGACAGCACCAGGGAGCTGCCCGTGCTGGGAGCTGGGCAGTGAGGCAGCCAGGCCCCAAGCTCAGCACTGCAGGGCTGGCCGGTGAAGCAAGGCTAGCTGGGCCTGCCTCTGCGGTAGCAGCTGCCACTCTGCTCCCTCACTTTGCACTGCGCCCCCCTGACAGCCGTGCAGGGTGCCTGCAGCCCAAACTGGGGCGCAGCCCGAGGTAGGACAGGACGGGCATCTTCCAGCCTCACCCAGCCCTTGGGTCTGCTGCCCCGTGTCCAGTGCCACTTTAGCCCTGCAACACCTCGCATGGCGATCAGTAGGGAGCAGCAGGTTCCACCCTGGACAGTCCCCTGTGCCCGGTAGCAGCCTACCTGATCTTGAGGTTGCTCCCCTGCTGTGGACCTAGGACAGCCCCACTGCTTCCAGCCTGGGCATGGGGTTTGAATCCCCAGGCCATAGTTCGTTGCCACAGTTCACGTCATCCGGTTAGTGTCCAGGGCTCCCTGAGCCCTGCACTGAGGGGAGGCCCTTGGGCACTGCGTGGCTTCCTGACTTCTGGCCACACTGTGCTGGGCTGGGTCTTGGAGCACGTCCACCTGGGGAGGCTCCCACTGCACAGCCTCCCCTGCATGCTTCGAGTTGCCTGTGGCTGGACTGGACCTCGAGGTGGCCCCAGGGTGCCCACAGGGCCCAGGCTGGGCCCCGGGAGGTGGTGTGGGAAGAACAGGCTCGGAGGCAGAGCCTAGACGAGGGCTGCGGCCAGGCAGGCCCACACACACCCGGCACATGCCTCTGCCACCAGCACGGGAGCCGTGTGCCCTGTGTGTCCTGGAGGCCGGTCTAGCCTCTGCCTTCCCGCCCTCCCAGCTCGGGCAGGAAGGAGCTGCACAGGCACAGCAGGCACCCTGGCCCCAGCTCAGGTGGCTCGGGCCACAGCCCACGGTGCCCCACACACCTGCCCTAGGTTGCAGGAGGCAGGAAGCTCGTGCAGGGAAGCAAACCCCAGCTGAGTGGGGTGGCGACACCGGCCCCTGTGGCTCCCCACAGCTGCCCACCAGAGGCCTGTGCTAATCTGCACTGGGCGTGGCCACATCCCAGGTCCCAGCCCCAGAGGGCAGCGCTTTTCCTGCTTCGGTCCTGGTCAGCTCCAGGCCTTTAGGTTCTTGCAGGCAGCAGGGGCCGAGGCCTTGCACATAGTGGAGCCCCCAGCTTTCCTGAGCCCTGGGGTGGGCAGAGGACAGGCCCGGCACAGCCTCCCAAGCTTCCCAGAGCAGAGCCAGGGCCCGCTCCTGGAGGAGCTGGCCACTCAGTTGCCCGGGGACCATGCTGGGACAGCCCCAGGGAGGCCCAGAGGACGAGGGAGCAGTGTGAACACCTTTATTGGAGCTGTGTCCAGTTTCCAGTCTTCAGAAACCCCTGGTGGAGGACAGTCGTCCGGGAGCAAGGCGCAGTTAGGGTGAGGACGGGGAAAGAGCAGCTCGGTACAGCAGGCATTCCCAGGGACAGGCTCACAACAGGAGGAAACACCTACCACACGCACCCAAGGCCAGACACCAGGGAGGACAGAGAGAAGGGCTGGGGATCGCTTTCATGCCACAAGTTCCGCCTTAAACTTCCAACCTCTCGGTACAAATTCTGGGCCTCTGCATGCCTGGAGTGGAGAAGCTTGGGCCCGATGCCACCCTTGCTCCTCAGGCCAGGGGCTGGGTCCTGGGACTCTGGCAGCGGTGAGTATGGGCTCAGAGCCTCAGCAGGAGCAGGCTGTCAGCAGCATGAGGCACCTGCTCCGGGGCGCCCTTAGGGAGGCCTGTGGCGTCCACGCAGCCCTCGAGGCCCACGGAGCAGGCGCCCTCAGGGGTGCCCCGCTCCTCCTCTGGGGGGTCCTGTGGGTCCAGTCCCCGAAGCCGCTGCTGCCGCTCCTGAGCCTGGCGGGCCCGGCTGGCAATGGCGCGCACTCGGCTCTGGCTGCGGGAGGAGGGCCGGCGCAGGAACCCGGGGCCCCCCTCTGCCCTGTCCCCAGCCGGGCCTAAGCTGGTGGGTGATGTGATGTCCCCGGCCTGCTGGAAGCCAGTGAGCCAGCGCAGCTGTTCTGTCAGGGTGTCCTGCCGTGCGGAGCCCCGGGGCCCGGGACCCTGGCCCAGGCTGCGGGAGCTGCCCTGGAAGCTGGGGGCAAAGTCATCTGCTGTCAGGTCCCCCAGGCTCTTCGACTTGGCAGCCACCGGGCAGTCCTGCAGGCACCCCGGGGCGAGGCGGCCCCAGGAGGGCCGGGGTCGGGGGCCGGGCAGCCGTGGCGCCAGAGGCCGGGGCTGCGGTGCGTCGGGCGCGGGAGGCAGCTGGCCCGCTGCCCAAAGGTTGGGGTTCGACTTGCTCTTAGCCACAGGAGGCAGGTCCGGGTGGGCAGTGGGGGCCGAGCAGGGTCTCGAGGGCAGGCGGCCCAGCGGGGTCCCGGCCAGGCTGGTCAGGGAGAGGTCAATGACGGTGTCGCTGGAGGACATGCTGGAGGACGAGGACACGCTGTCCCGGTGGCTGCCTGGCTCCAGCCGCTGCCATATCCGGTCACTGCCTGTGGCGTCCGAGTGGACAGCAGGGCTGGGGGTCGGGCCGGCCAGTGGCCGCCACGTGCCCGGGGGCTCCAGGGACACTTGGCTCTCACTCTTGGCCCTTCTGACCGAGGGCAGAAGGCCCAGAACTCGTGGCTGGCTTCCACTGTCCTGCTGGCTGCCCGAGGCCCCCTCGCATGCCCCAGTGGGCCCCCCCCCATCGAGCAGCCTCCTGGGAGCCTGTTTGTCATCCCCATGGCCCCCAGTCCTGAGCTGGAGGGGCCCCGGGGGTCCCCGAGCTGTCTGTGGGGGACTGGCCGCTTTGGCCACAGGTCCTGGGAAGTGCGGGGACCGCTCCCCGGGAGGGCTGCTGGGGGTGGCCGCCTGCGCGGGAGCACCGGGGCCCACGGCCGGCTCTTCCATGATGGGCTCCAGGCTGCACAAGGGGGAGACGGACCGCTGTGTGGAGAGGGGGCAGGCATCTGCGGGGAAAGGGGCGGGGACAAGACAGGGAGACGGAAGGAGGGGAAGATTGGGTCCGAGGAGAGACGGGGAAGGAGAGCCAGGTCAGTGATGGTGCCCTGCACCCCGTCCGCCAGTCTGAGCCCCGCAGGGTCCCCAGCAGCCAGGCCTGCCCATTTGCACTCGGCTAACATGGCTCACACCAGGTGCCCCCATCCCTGCTGCTGCTGGGTCCGGGTGTGGATGGGCAAGATGCCCGTGCCCTGTGCTCCCACGCAGGGTCTCCGGGGCCCGGGGCAACACGGCGCACACAGGGGCTGGGCGTTACCTGGCGTGCGCTGCTCTCAGTCCCTAACTATGGAGGCAGCCCGGGGTGCAGGGACAGAAAGGAGAACAAGGTCAGCAGGGTGGGGCTTGCAGAGGGGTGGGCGGACAGCGAGGCGGGCCAGGGTGCAGAGCAGGGTGAGGGGCTTGGTGCACGCCCCTCCCACCCAGCCGGGGGTCTGGCACTCTAGCTCCACCCTCTGCTCACTGTCTGCGGAGTGGGGGCAGAGTCGTGGGCCCAGGGCAAGGGAAGCGAGCTCAGCCTTCCGCAAACTGAGGCCCAGCGTCCAGGCCCGAGTACCATCAGGGCGCAGGACATCGGGGGCACCCTATCGCTGCACCACTGGGCCAGGGGTCCAGCACAGTGAGTGGGACCGATTCCCCTAGTGTCACCCATAGAGGGCCGGGGCTTCTGGTGCAGAGGGGCAGGAGCCAGGGCAGGCAGGGCAGCGGGAGCACACTGAAGCAGAGACATGAGCACAGCAGGGACAGGAGGCCCAGGCATGCTGGGGTGTGCAGGGCACGCAGTGCGGAGGAGCGGCTGGCCTTACCGGCGGAGAGCATGGGGGAACTACTCCTCATCTCCTCCAGCTTTTGAGCGAACAAGGCATTCATCTCTCCCTGCAGGGCCCCCAGCTGCCTGTGGACACCCTCAGGCGGGCAGGGGGCCACTTGGGGACTGCCCAGGCTGTCTGGGCTGCTGGAGTCCGAGGACACAGAGCCGCTGCTGCCTGCGCCCTGACGCCGGGCCCCAGGGCCCTTAGAGGCCTCTTTGCTTCTCCCCGGGGTGGCTCGGGGGCCGCAGGGACTCCCCGGCTTGTCCACCCAGGCCTGGGGCTGTTGGCGGATGGCGGTGAGCCTGCCTGCAGGCCCTGGGCTGGGCGGCTGCTCCCTCCACAGGCCCTCGGAGTCCACACGGGTGCAGGAGCCCACCACGCACTTCATGCACGTAGCAGCCATCCCCGCGGGCCCAGAGCCCTCAAGGGCACGTGGGGGCCGCACCTGCGCGGGGCTCCTTCGCTCCACTGAAGCCGCTGCCGGTGCCTTACCTCGGGGGATGCTGCTGCCTGGTGCGTCACGGGCCGGGGTCTCTGGAGTGGGGCCAGGGCTGGGGGACACCACATCGTCAGCTGCCCTCTCAGAGCCCACGTCCTGTGTGCCCAGCGCCAGCTCTGGGAAGCCCTTGCGGCCCGGCTTCTGGCTCTTGGTCGGGGCGCTGGCCGTGCGCCGCAGGAGCCGCTGGCTAACGGAGGGCCGGGGCGGGGGCTGACCAGCAGCATGACTGTCCAGGGAGCCTGGCTTTGCAGCGCGGAGGAAGAGGCCTTTTAGGCCCAGAGCCTGCCTGGCCTGCAAAAGAAGGAGCCCACATAGCTGGTGCCGGGACACAGGCTGGCTGTGGCTGCAGCCCGAGGACAGGCTCCCGGGGGCCCCGCTGGGCACGCGGTGCGACAGGCAGGAGCCACCCGGCCAGCTGGCTGGAGACCGAGCAGGACACTGGCCTCAGGGTGCTCCTGTCGGCCCCACCAGGGACAGCAGGACCCCTCTCGACTAACAATCCAGCCTTCCGAGCTCTGGGTGGAGGTAGGAGCCACCCATCCATGGGCCTCTCAAGGACACTTCAAGCCTAGCCCCGGCCACTGCACCTGGCCCAGCTCTGTGGACTGCAGAGAAGCAAGGTGCTGAGCTTGCTGTGGGTCACACTGCCAAGGCCTCAGCAGCAGCAGTCGTGAAAGCAAGCACAGCCAGGTGTGGCGGGCGACTGCTCGCCCCAGCCCTGCCCTGCCCGCTCCTGGTGACCTGCAGGGACACTGCTCCAGGAGCCTCCTCCAGCCTGGCCCTACCCTGGCCTGCGAGAGCCTGCGTCCCCAGCTGGCTCGGTGCCAGACCACTGACTAGCTGGGCTCAGGCTCCCAGCCCGCCAGGCCACAGCTGCTTCCTGTCCAGCTGGGCGGGAAGGTCCCCTCCGGGCTCCCTGCTGGAGAGCACGGGCAGCTGCATCTCACAAGTGTAGAGCAGAGATTCTCACATGCCAGACACCCCTGAGGCCCCCGGAGACCCCACAGCACCCACCGCTCCCCCGGACGAGCTCCGCTTGGTACAGAGCAGCCCAGGGCCCCGTGGGCGGGGGCCCTTCTGGCAGAGGTGATAACATGGCCAGCACTTGAATCAGCGTCCTGATTCAAGATCCCAAATCCAGTGCAATTTGGTCAACGTTGGCTGGAACGCCATTTAGAAGGAGATCCAGGATTCAGGCTTGGAGTACCAGGCCGCGTGGCGTCCCCCACCCCAGGCCCTGGGAGAGTGAGGAGGGAATGGAAGGGGGCTGAGAAATGACAGCACGGGACACAGAGGGAAGGGAGGAAGGGTCCCGGGAAGGACGGCACTGGGGCAGAGCCCACACCAAAGAAGCAGACGCCCGGGGCACACGAAGAGCAGGGAGGGGCAGTGGCCTCGGCGGAATCCTGGATCTGCCTCATAAATGCCACTGTGGCTGAAGATGGCCCAGGGGACCCGGAACCATGTCATGGCCCATATCAAATGAACTGACAGTCTCCAAAATGCTACCAGGAGTCACGGATGCTAATGAGCGTGACCTGGCATGCAGGGCGCGGGCTGCACAGGCCTGTGGCGCCCGGGTACCTTCGAGGTTCCTAACAAGGCTGCGCTTCTAAAAGTAGACTTTGCACATACAGAAGCCCACTGCAAGACCAAAGAGACAGAGTGAAGGCCGGTGAGTGGCCCAGACGGCTGGGGAGGGGCCGCGGCCATGTAGACAGGCGGACATGACAGATGGACGGACAGACAGATGGCAGCAGAGAGCAGGACCCTGCAGAGCCTCTGGCCCTGAGGGCACTGCAGGAGAGAGGTCACCAGGGCCCAGCCCCCCACTTGGAAGAGCAGCTGGGCTCACGGCCTGAGACCCCTGCCCTGGCCTGGCCCGTGGCAAATGTGTGGGGGCTGGGTAGGGGGCAAATCCAGGCAACTCTGGAAGGGAAGCACCCAGGGAGGCTCAGGAGAGGAGGGAGAGAGAGAAGGCCATGGGAGGCCATGAGGTGCCATCCCTGTGAGCCAAGTGGTCAGCACTCCCGGGCAGGACCCCCAAGGGGGAGGGCAAGGGGACACCAGGGGACTCCTTCCCAGGGCAGGGACACGGAGGTCCGCACCGGCAGGCTCCATGCCCCGTGCCCTCCCCCAGCTAGGGGCGGAAGCCCAGGAGGTCACCGCCCGGCCTCAGCGCCCTCTTCCTGTGTGGCACTCACCTTACCGCTGATGTCGCTGATGGCCACATGCACGAAGATGGAGGCCTCTTCCATCCCCTCCAGGTACACGTGCCGGTAGCCTGGGGTCCCACCGCGGGTCGTCAGGGCCTTCCCGCCTTGCCCCGAGGCCCCAGAACAGAACACCCAGGGCACCCCACAGTCAGCAGGAAGAGGGGCTTCTGGGTGTCGCTCCCTGCCTGGCCCGCCCACCTGGCATCATGCTGCTGAAGGCCAGCGTCCTCTGGCCGATGAAGTCGCGCCCGATGGGGTCGTGGTCCCAGACGAGGAAGCGCACCAGCGCAATCTCAGGCATGTGCACGGTGAACACCAGCGTCTCCTCCCACATGGGGTTGAATCCTGGAGCGAGGGCAGACCATGTAGACCGGGCTGCAGCCCAGCCCTGTGCCCCAGAACATGAGAACAGGGGGCCCTGGCCTCTCCCTGCCAGGCCGGGCATCGGGATGCTCACCATTATCATCCACCACACGGGTCTGCTCCTTGCCGCAGTCCACGGGGAGCCCGATGACCTCCACCTCCACGAAGGGGTCAATGATCTGAGGACAGGGTAAGAGGTGGCATCAGGCACCAGGATGAGGGTGGCACGAGGCCCCCACAGCCCACCCTTCCTGTGGAGTCCTGGCCCGACCTCCCCGCGGTCGCCCAGCATGGAGTCCCGCGGCTTGGGGAGCTGCTGCCCGCTGATGATCCTCAAGGCCAGCTGCTTCTTGAGCTGTCCGGGCAGGGGGTCCTCAGAGTTGGGGTTGAAGACGCCTGAGAGGACGTGGGCATGAGCAGAGAGCCAGCACCCTGCAGACATCGCAGTGGACTCGGGACTCTGGCCACAATCAGTGCCCACCCAGGCACGGGAACAGTGAGCAGTGGCGGTGGGCAGCTGCCTGCACAGGCTGGCAACTTCGAGGACGTGCCACGTGCTGAGACAGCGCAGTAGGACAGAGACAGGGTGAGGAGGAAGGAGAAGGAGGAGACGGGAGCACAGGGCAGAGGCCCGTGGGGCAGGGAGGAGGCGCGGGCCTCCGAGAGTCCGGTCCACCACAGACCTCTGGCCCCTCAGACCAGCCCTGCTCGCAAACCTCACGTGGCCCCGGGCGTAGGCAAGGGGCTCCCCGATTCCTAGCCCAAGACCCTGGCAGAGCAGGGTCCTTCACCGACAGCCAGAGGAGGCGTCGCCCCGTCTTCAGTGTCCTGGCAGCAGGCAGCAGCCTGGCCTCCCTGCTCCTCATGCACCCCGGTGTCCCGTGTCCCCCTTCGCCTCACCCTGGCACATGCATGGGGGCTTGAGCACGTAGCCGCAGTTGCCATTGGCACTGAACTTGGCCCGATTCAGCTGCAGCATCCGCCCCTCCGATTGGTAGTTCAGGGCGACTGCGGGTGAGGGCAGGAGGCCCTGGGGTCAGCATCCGTCCCCATGCTGTGTCCACTGCCACCGGGTCCCCAGCCTGCTCACAGCTGTGAGGAGGGGCCCTGTGTCCTGGCAGGAAGTCCCTCAGCCAGGATCCGCCAGCCCATGCTGCAGGTGCAGGGCAGTGGAACCGTCTCCCCCAGACTGCCTGGGGTTGAAGGGCCCGGCTGGGCGCCAGCCTGGCAGAGCGGGAGGTGCGCCAAAGCCGTGGGGCGCGAGGAGGACAGAAACCAGGCCCCGCGTCCCCGGCTGTCCACCCTGCAGGACGGGAGCGCCCATGGACTGTGCCCTCCTCCCCACTGTGGCCTGGCACGCACCCATCTGGCAGCCGGCGTTCCAGAAGGGCTGCGGGTCGTAGTTGCTGGAGTCCACACGGTAGGGCGAGGGGTAGACCCGTGAGAGCTGCTGCTGGTTGAAGTGCAGGTACCGCACTGGCCTCTGCTGCAGGATCTGGTGGGCCTTGGTCTCGCTGAAGGACGACACCTGCCAGCTGGAGGCCACTGCAGCGCGGGGCGGGGCGTGAGTCGTGGGCTTCGGGCGCACGCAGCCCAGCTCCGGGCCCATCCCTGCCCCGCGGCCCTCACCCTCAGTGTCCACGTCGTGAGTGCCCACGGACTTGGTGTATTTCACCAGGTCCGAGAGGGCCCGGGACAGCTTCATGGTCTTCTTCTGCCGGACTGTCCTGCGGGCAGGCAGGGGCAGTCAGGCCCAGCCCCACTGTGGGGCTCCAGGGTCTGGGTGGATCCTTCCACACCACACTTCGTGGGCAGGCACACGCGGAGGCCACGTGGCCTGTGGGACTGTCCCAGCCCGAGCCCTGCCCACCCCGACCACGGCAGGGCTGGGCAGAGGCACCTATAGAGCACCAGCCGGTGCAGACCCCGGGCATCCCGAGCCCACGGGGCTGAGGTGGCTGCCGGCCAGGAGGGGCTCTGCGGACTTGGGGCTCTGGAAGGCTCAGGGGTGGTGGGGCAGTGAGAGCAGGGTCCCAGCTCTGTGTAGGGGCAGGAGAGGGCTGGGTGTGATGCTGGGAGGGACAGAGGACAGGGAGCGGGGATGGGCAGGGAGAGGCCTGGGAGGGCGAGTGCGGCATGGGAGGACGCCAGGGCTGCACATGGAGGTGGGCGACCTCCACGAGAGCCCAGAGGTGCCCCAGGGAGCAGCTGACTCACAGCGACCAGCGCCGACCCTGTGGGGCATGGGGAGCCCTATCATGGGGACCACGGGGAGCCTCTATCACCAGGGACAAACAGCACCTCGGGGGAGGGGGAGGGGCTGGGGCTCAAGGGAAGAGGAGGGGCCCCGAGACCCGGCGCTGCGCAGTGATGGGGCCCAGGGACCTGCGGGCCCTCAGGACTGTGCTGCCCCACCCAGCCCTGTGCCAGTGGCCCGCCTGCCAGGCTGCCAGAGCCCCGTGCCCACCACACATCCCACTGCTGCTGTCGCCTGGACAGTGGCTTCCTTCCCCTGGCTACCTCAGGGTCCCGCCCGCGGTCTGAGGACAGCCCCAGTGGGTCACTCAGAGAAGGGTGTGGGGCGTGGCCCCAGCCCCCCAGGGTGACGCCCCCACCTGCTGCAGGGCACTGACCCTCGGGGGTGGCTTCCTGCCGAGTCTGGGTCCTCGACGCCCTCCTCCATGCTGGCCACCTTCTTCAGCTTGCTGCCCTTTCTCTGTGCCGGAGGACAGAGCTGTGACCTGCAGGGCCTCATCACGCTGGGCCTCCTGGGCTTCGGCAGCTGCGCAGCCGCCAGGCCCTTCCTGCCCAGCCGCTGCGACCGGGGCAGCCACAGGAGCCTGAGCTCAGGCACCAGCCAGGCCAGAGCGGGCCGCGGAGGCACCCGACTGAGCCGGGCTTCTGACCCCAGACCCCGAGAGCACCAGGCGCAGGGAGGATGGCGGGGTCCGCAGGGTTCCCCTCCCTGGGCCGGCCGGCAGGGGCCCAGACCTTGCGCTTGGAGAAGCTGCTCACGAGCAGGCGGCCGTCGCGTCTGCTGGCCCGGGTGTCCGCTCTCGACTCCACGTCCTCCTCAGCCTTGCTCTGCCCCAAGGGAGACACAGAAGTAAGCGGGTGAGGCCGCCACTCCCCACTCCCCACAGCTCCGAGGCTGTCCTGGAGGGGCGGGGTCGAGCATGGCCTGGGGGTCAGCAGAGGGTGGGGAGCAGGCACAGCGTCAGGCAGAACCCTGGAGGCCAGGGCCCAGCAGGCAGCACAGGCTTCTCGCCACACAGGGCCCTGATCCCACCTCGCAGCTGACTGGCTTTCCCACAGACGGGGACTGCCCTGAACACTCACTGCCTGCGCCGGGACGCCTGGCTGCCTGCGGAACCTTTCTCAGGCCTTCCAGCCAGAGGCCGGGCGCGTCCAGAGGGTCACCCAGCCACCCAGCGACAGCAGGCCCTGGGCCCAACGGCGGGCTCTGTGCCCTGGATCCCAGGCACGGGCTGTGGGCTCCCCCGGCAAGCTCAGACTGGGGCTCTCCAGAACCACCAGCTCCCCGCCACCCTGGCCCCCAGGCACTGCGCCTCCTCCTGCCCATCCTCCCCGCCACCCCAGAGCGCATCCACGCTGGGCTGCAGGCACCTGTGCCGGGCACCTGCTTCCCTGAGGTTGCTGCCACCCTCACCTGCTCCCCACCAGCCCCTCTCACAGGTGACCCCAAACTGGGCCCCACCTGCCCAGGAAGTGCCTGGCACCCCACACAGAGCCACCCAGGACAGGGCAGCTCCTACCAGACATAGAGGGCCACATGCAGCTGCCACACCCCCAGCCAGAGAGCAGCTGCAGCCGGAAGTGACACACCCACAGACCCCAACTACATGCGTGGGCAGAGTCCTGTGTGCACGCCTGAACACGCCACAGATGTGCTATGGACACATCAGCACACACGGACGCATTTCTGCACACACTGTGGACACCCAGGTGCACACCAGGCATGCCCTGTACATACCGCAGACATGTCTACACTCCGACAATCCTCACACGTGCCACTGACATGCCTACACATGGAGGTACACTGTGCACACCCCACGGATGCTCCAGAGCTGCCATGAGAGCCACTGAGCTTGCCTGGCCACAGCACCCTCTGCCCCAGTGCCCCCAGGCCAGCAGCTCAGCCACCCCTCCTGCCCACCCCCTCTGCTACTCTGGAAGCTGAGCACGGGCAGCCCTTGCCCTGCACAGCAGGCTGAGTGAGTCCCACTGACCTGCTCCAAAGTCACCAGCGCCAGCTGGAGCCTGGGGGAGCCAGAGCTGGCCTGGCCTGGCTGACCCAATGCTGGGGCCGAGGCCCCTTCCAGGCAGGGGCTTCGCAAGCCCTGAGGCTGAGGCAGATCCACAGAAGGCACACAAGGCTGCCCCTCTCCAGGGGCCTTCAGAGAGCTGTCCCTCCCAGCCTCCTCAGCCCCAGACCCTCTCCTCCTCGCTCAGGGCTGACCCTGCCACATCAAGAGAGCTGTGGACACCACACCCGTAGGCTGGGAGGCAGTGGAGGCGTTGACCAAAACGCTGCCATCACTGAGCCACGAGTGACCATGGTCTGGGCCCAAGGAGAGGCGCGTGCTGGCTTTGGAGAACAAGTGGCCAGCCACAGCCCACACAGCAAGGCCAGAATCTGCTCCACCCCGGTACGTCCACATAGGCGACAGCTCCACCCAGCCACCGTGGGGCTGCGGGCAGCCGGCAGCCAGGTCCAGCCCTCCCAGCCCTGAGCCACAGCCTGTCGTGGGTGAGCCCACGAGGTGAGCACCCCAGCTGCACTGAGACACTGAAGGGCAGGGTCACAACAGGCCTGGCTGGCCCGTCCTCACGGAGGACCCCAGTGGTGTTCCCTCCCTGGCATTCGACACCGTGGGTGAGGCCCCTCCATCTCCTCAGGCACCTGTCCTCCTGCCTGGGCCTCCTGCTGGACCACAGGGACCCCAAGGGGGCCTCGTGTCCTGCAGGTGCCGTGCAGAGAGGTGACCCTCAGCCCAGCAGGCAGACACCTGGGGGATGCTGCACAGGACTTCCTGTGTCCAAGGCAGGCTGCCCCAGGAGCTCCCCTCTCCGAGTCCCTGCTGGACACATCCCCACGTGTCCACCACTCATGCGCCGGTCCCTGAGGGCTCGCGGGCTCTTCTGGGCTGTGTGGGGCTGGCAGGGACAGCCTGGTGCTGCCCTTGGGGGCCTGTTCCTCCTCCCACCGCGGTGGCTCAGCCTGAGCGGCTCCTCCTCGTCCTCCTCCAGGAAGCCCCAGCAGCTGCTTAGACACGGGGTAGTCAGGCTCCTGTGTGTCCCTAGGGGCCCTGCCAGATGGTGCTTGGCCAAGGAGAGCAGACTTAACACCCCTACCTGGCCTGGCTGAGCCTCAGGTGGACCATGTTGTCCCCCCTGGACGCCTGGGGCCTGAAACAGCCAGGCCTGTGTGCACCTGCTGAGCGCACTGGGCCATGGGTGGAAACAAAGACGCCTGCCTCTAAAACTCTTGGTGCTTTCGGGACACAGCCGCAGCCAGGAAGGACCCCCTCCCCACCCACCTCCCCACCTCCCCAGAGGCCTGGGAGCTGGCCAGGAGCCAGGCCAAGACGCTCTCCAGTCACCGCCGCACTCGGGTCTGCCAGCCCTGCACAGCCCCTTGGCCCGGCCCCTCGGGAGACGTGCCCAGCCTTCATGGATTGTCCCCCTGTGCAGAGAGGGCCTCGTCCCTGGCTCCCCCACCCCACTGTGTGCTCTGACAGCCTCTGTGTGGACACTTCCCCCCAGCGGTGGCTGGCTGAGGTGGGACAGCCACGCCCCACCTGCTGGAAGACTCCCAGCTCGGGTTCACTGAGCCCCTGCTGGGCCTCTGTCATGCATGAGACTCTCACCACGTGGGTGATGCACATCCCCCTCCAGCTAAGCGGCAGTGCTTATGTCCCCTAGGGGCCACCTGCCCCAGCTGGGACCAGGCATGCCTGTCAGAGCCCCGAGAGCAGACGAGGACAGGACCCTGGCGAGACATGCCGCAGGGCCCAGGCCCCACCATCTTCCTGGGCAGGGTGAACGCGTGGCTCGTTCTCCACAGTGGAGAAGCAGAGACAACCAAAGCTCGGGGTAGACCCACCCCAGACAGCACACCAGCCCCAGGAGTCCTGATCTCAGGCAGGGAGTGCATGCATGTGTGCAAGGGTACATGCTTGGGTGTGCAGGAGTCTATGAATACAGGTGTGCATGGGTACAAGTAGGGAAGCAAGCACAGGTGTGCAAAGTGTGCATGCACAAAGGTATGTGCAGATGTGTGCATACTGGTATGTGTGTACATGTGCACACATGCATGTCCTCGTGTCTGCAGGGGTGTGTCCAGGGGCAGGGGCAGGTGTGTGGGTGTCTCACTGAGGCATATGTGTGCAGGCACGCCAGGGTGCAGGCATGTACACAGCGGCATGTGAGTGCACATGCAGAGCTGCAGCTGGGGCACTGCCGTGCGGGGGCCTCACCTTTCTGGCCTCTGCTCTGGGTCCAGGTTTCCCCAACGGGAACATGGTGGACACTGTGAAGTCGTTGGGGTCTTCACAGTCGCGAATCTTTGACTCCTTGATTAGAGAATCCAGCTTCTTCTTGGCAATGTTTTCCACACGCTTCCGGTTGGTGGAGACCTGCGGGAGCCAGAGGAGTTCCACAGGAACTCCAGGAGCCAGCCACTCAAGAAGAGGGGCAAACTTCAGAGGGTCCTGGGGCTGCGCTGGGTGCCCTTCCCTGCCAGGGCGGCCCCAGCATGGCCCGGGTTGGAAAGAGTGCCAGGAGGACAGCACGGGCATGGGTTTTCCACCAAGGGCCCAGGCAGAGGTGTGCAGAGCACACCCAGCGCGGGAAGAATTCTGCTGTTTCTGGGTTTTCTAAAACAACTGGCCAGCCTGGCCAGGAAGCCTCCTGCACAATTATTTTCCCATCCAAAGGCCCCTCGGGGAGAAATAGGCTTCTCTGCCTCCCAGCAGCAGCACAGCTCAGAGCACTGCTGAGGGGGAGAAGAAGCCAGTTATGGACCCCGCCCCAGGCCCTTGCAGCTAGAGCCCTCAAGACTCCTCAGTCTCCCTCCCCTGGGGAGGCAGTGAGGACACCGCTGGGGGCCAGGCGGGCTCGCCCTGCAGGAGCTCTCAGCCCTGGGATCAGTGCAGCCTGGAGTGGAGCTAATGCTGGGCCAGGGTCTGCCCCAGCCACTCAGAGCCTGGCCGGGGCTGCCCAGGAAGTGGCAGGAGTCCAGGATATTCTGGGTGGAGGCCAGCAAAGGAAGGTGTGGGTGGGACCCACGTGGGACCCGCACCCTAGTGCCACCCCAAGAGCTCAGGGGCCAGGAGGATGGGGCCCAGGCAATGAGCAGCACCTGAGTCAGCTCAGCAGTGGGCACTGAAAGGGAGTCCGCCAGGTGGGACGAGGGTTCCTGGGCTCTGGTGGGGCGGCCAGGCCATGTGCGCCCCCAGGCTGCAGCGAACCCTGCACCGTGCCCCTCTGCCCCTCACACTCACGTCCCCATTGAGGAGCTTGCAGTCCTCATCGATCTCATCAGCACTGTCTTCATCCGACACCTCGCCCTCCTCCACGTCCTCGCTGATGTTGGCCGGGAGCTTCTTCCCCTGGGGGAGAGGAGGGGCAGGGGCAGAGCCGCAAGACAGGGGCCGGGAGACCGGGCCAGTCAGGGCCCAGCCACCCTGAGGCCTCACCTTCACCAGGATCTTGCCCTTGAGCATCTGGGGAGAAGGAAGCATGGTAGCGTCCTCGCTGCTCACGGCCGACAGGTCCAGCTTGTCCCCAAGGATGTCGGTCAGGTACTGGGCCATCTTCTTCTGCTGGATGACGCTACAGTGGTTCTCGATGGACAGGATCACTGGGTACCTGCGGGAGGCAGAGGGCAGCCGAGGTCAGGCGCAGGGGTGGATCGGCCACCGAGCGATGGGGACCTCGTCATGCCAGGACAGGCAGCTCTGCCGCGGCTTCAAGAGGTGGCCCCCAGAGGCTCGGGAGAGCCAGTGAGGGTGGAGGAGAGGAGCTGGAGGATGAGCAAAGAAGGCACCGACATTTTTCCAATTTAGAAAAAAGGCAATTAGAAAATCCAGGAAAACCAATGGAAAAAGCTCTGGGTGAAAAGCGGCAATGGGCAGAGAGAGAATGTAATCCCTGTGACCCAGATCCCGGAGGCCTGGCCTGCGGTCCCGGCACTGGCTGCACAACGAAGGAGACACAGCCCGGCATGCGCCATCTGACAGGAGGGGCCGTGGCCCGCACAGCGGGGAAAGCTCTTCAGCTTCATTTCCAATATACGCACCAAAAGGCAGCTGTGATCCTTTGAGAAAATGTGGGTGACCCAGAGCAAGAGGCCATGAGCCAGAGCAGAGGGGGGCGGCCGCGGGGCATGGACAGGGAGGAGGGATGGGTGAAGGCCACAGTGCCCCGATTCCCAGGCCCGGGGAAGATCCCGCCAATGCCGAGGCCCCACGCACCCCGGGCTCCTCAGTGACACCAGGCTGGAGAGTGCCCAGCTCCACCGCCCGTGCCACGCTCCCCACTGCAGCCAGGGCCCGGCCACCACAGTGACCTTGCTGCCCCCGCCCTGCACACACAGCTGGAAGCAGGACACAGGCCAGCTCCCTCCCAGGAGGCCCCTTTCCATTCCCGAAGTCAATCACTCAAGTAGCTCCTTCCTCACCTGTGAGCCTTGCTTAGCCAAGACTCAGAGGTAACACTAGCAGCAAAAAGGTGGCCTTCTATTTCTGGAAGCTAAATTGGGCTTTCCTCAAAGGTATTTGCGGCAGCACTTCGAGTCTGGACACAGTGGCTTCCCGGGAGAAGTTAGTTCTGGGGCCACGGCGGCTCTGGTGGCCAACACCAGCATTACCGCCGTCCGTGGGGCCACGCCGTGGACGCATGTGCCCTGAGTGGCCTCAGCCAGTGTGCTCGTCCACTCTGCACACACGGCCTGCCCTCTCCCGGTCCTGTGCCCCCCCACCCACTCCTCAAAGGAAACCCTGAAATGAAGCCCAGCCTTTGGCCACCACGACCACTGCTCCCCGAGAAGGACACAGGGGGGGGATGGGGGCCCGGCCCAGCCACTCACTCGTTCTTCAGGAAGGCATATTTGTTGATGGTCTCGATAACATCTCTGAAGAGGATCTTGGAGGTCAGCGTGTAGCCGTGGTGCACAATGGGCTCCCCGTCGGGCCCGTCCCAGCAGTCCACTGCGGCACAGACCCGGTCAGCCAGGGCCCAGCCTCCTGGGTGCACGGTCACCAGTGCAGCGCGTCTCTCACCCAGGAACTCACCCTCCACACAGCGGCAGCCGGCCTGCAGGACCCGGGCGTACATGTCCGCCCGTGACTGAGACATGAGCTGATCCCCCACAAGGTAGGTGTTGTGGGACGAGGTGATGAAGTAGTGGCTCAGTGGCCGCGTCATGTCCTGGTGCACGCCGTGGTGCTTGGGGTTGAAGATGTCGCCTGCAGGGCTCCGCGTGTAGTTGGTGAAGCCTGCAGGGGAGCCCGCTCAGGTGTCGGCCCCCCCCGGGGCTTGATGTGTGCCCCTGGCCCGGAGCCCCCTGCCCAGCCCAGCCTGCTCACCGTCAATGCCCAGCACACCCTTGCTCTGGTTTTCTGGGCAGGGCTCGAACTGCTGGATGATGTCGAGGCAGCTCTGGAGGGTCACAGCCTGCACCTGGGCCGGGTGGGGACGTGAGCAGGGGCGAGCCTCAGACAGCTGCCCTGCTCCGCCATGGCTGCCAGCACCCGCCCTGCGTCTCCTCACCACAGCAGGGGTGACATTCGAGGGCCCGCGGCTCAGACCACCCAGCCTCCCACCCCGTGTGCTGCAGAGGGCCCCGCCGTGTGGCTCCGGGTGAGCACAGCCCCACATCCCACCCCAAGGAGCCTCCTGGGGAAACTGAGCCACAGCCCAACCCCGCCTGGGAGCTCCAAGCATCTGAAGGCACACGGCCCCAGAGGCCTGTGCAGAGACAGAAGCTGACAGCCCTGAGGGGACCTGGCAGGGGCACCGGCAGAATGGGAGTTGACTGGTGAGGGAGTGGACAAATGGGTCAGCCCAGAGCCAGCTGGGACCCGGGGGTTGCAGAGTCCAGGCGGCTGGGCCCAGGGCTCAGGCCACTGCAGGGAGAGGGTCCCAGGAGCTGGGGACAAAGGACAGGGAGGAGGTCGGATCCGCTTGAGCCCACCCAGCCCCACTCCCACACCAGGGCCAAGGCAGCACGGCTGCCGACAGGGCCACGTCCCCCAGCCCAGGCCAAGGCCACGTGGGGCAGCAGGATCCAGCCATGAGGGTGCCGGGGACACCTCCAGGGGTCTCAGCAGGATGGGAGAGGGGCTGCCACGGCTGCCACGGGACGAGACCCGCTGCGCAGCCCCCGGGCAGGGCGGCCCCTCAGGCCCGGCTTCGGCAGCCCCACAAGGATCCCGGTGGCTGCCCCGCCTGCTGCCCCTCACCCAGCCTCACCCACTGTGCTGCTCACACGGCCATCACCAGGACTCTGAGTGTGAGGCTGGGCAGAGCAGGCCTCGGGAAGACCCAGTCAGGCCCCGGCCCCCAGCCTGCCCTTGTCCAGGGAAGGTGGACCCAGGCTGGGGCGCGGGACACCAGGTGCCCAGTAGGTGGACAGTGCCCGGGGAGCCTCGGCCTTGGCGTAGCTCCACAGATAGGCAGGCTGCCTGGGGCAGCACTGCAGGGTCAGGAGCACTGGGCAGTCGGCTGAGTGCAGCCAGCCTCCGCCTGGAGCCAGGGGCCAGCTGTGCGGCTGGGACACAGCTGAGGGGAGGTCTAGGCAGCTCCGAAGGCTAGGCCACAGCACTCAGTCCATGAGACTCCTACCCACGGCAGAGCCTGGGCGCCTCCAGATCCCTGAGGTGTCCTCGGTCAGCACAACCACACAGAAGCCTTCAGAGAGAAGCACAGGCCTCCCCACCTGCCTGGCAGCCCCTCAGCCCACGCCCAGAAGGTGGGAGCAGAAGCCAACTTAGAGCCTCCCCTGCCCACCGAGACCCACCTGTCCCCAAGCCCAGGGCTGCCCTGCCACACTCTGGCCTCACCTTCTGCTCCACCTCCAGGAAGCGCTGCAGGTCGGCTGCGTCCAGGTGGTCCTTGTGGTTGCTGTAGGTGAGCAGTAGCAGGTAGAGGTCCCGGCGCGTGGACATCATCTTGTAGAAGGCACAGAACTCCTCGAAGCCCAGCGTCCCCTGCCGGTCATCCGTGTCTGCCTCCTGCACCGCGAGGCTTGTCACCACCTGGCCCGGTCCAGTCCCATCAGCACCCAGCCAGCCTCCCTCCTCCACTGCCCACATCACTGCAGACACCGTTGGGCACCCGGAGCCCCTGTCACTCAGGCACTGGGAGATGGACAGTACGGTATGGCCCACCCTCCCTGCCCTTTGCAAGGTCGCCCACCAGAGCCAGCAGCATCCATCCCACGCCGAAACCCACACCACACCCAGTCCTGCCGGAGCCGGACCCCGCGTCCATATGAGCCCAGCAGCGTCCGGGCTCAGGTCCCCACCGCAAGGTGAGTGGTCATGGGTGCTGCCCTCATTTTGCAGAGGAGGCTCACGGGTAACCCCAAGAACTCTCAGGGGCTCCCTCATGCACCACTGCAGCAGGGAGCCCTGAGAAGCACACTCCTCCCTCCCTCCCTGGGCTTAGGACACAGAGGTCCCAGTCCCAAGGCAGCCAGAGCACCTGGGTACAGGAGGGGTCTATGGGGATGGGCAGAGAGGCCTGTGAGCCCTGATGATGGAGGCAGGGGCCCAGGGCTGGCTGGCTGCGGCAGGGACGCCAACACTGATTGGCGGTGTCAGGGTCCCACCTTGGCACCCTGATCACACACTGATAGTACAGCTTGGCCAACGGGAACCCCGCACTTTGCAGAATGGCACTGCTCAGGCTCAGGACATGGGCCAGGGGCCCTGATGCTGTACACACCTGCCCGGGGCTCAGGACCTCGGCAGGGATGCTGGGGACCCTGCTGTGGCTTAGGGAGCTCAGCCTCCCGCCCCAGTCACTGACCAGGTGCCTTAAGGGCAGGTCCTGTCCCCTGTCTTGTCCCCCCCAGGCGTTGTCCAGACACTGCCGGAGTCCTCAGACCACAGTACGACAGGTTTCGTGCTCATGAAGTGAACAATGTCTCTCAGAACCTGGGGTCCTCTTCCCAGCCCCTCAGCGGGGCCTCAGGAGCAGTGGGCTCTCAGCAGCCAGCCCAGAAGGAGCCCAGCTCAGTGCTGGGGAATAGGACAGCCCAGCCAAGAGGGACGGACACAAGCCAGGGCCAGAGGCAGTGGCACTCGCTGCACGTGCCAACCCCGCAGCAGCCCCTTCCCCGGATGGCCACAGGACGCACCAGCAGATCCGCCAGGGCACCCTCAACCACAGGGGCTCAGGGCAGAGGCCTGGCCTGGAGGCGAGCAAGCAGCAGGTGCCCACACCACGCACCCCTGTGACGGCCGGGATGGCCCAGAGCCACATGCAGGGCTTGGCGCCCGGCAGGACCACGGTGTCTGATGTGGGGTTTCAGGGCGGCCTCGAGCCAGAGCTGAGCGCTGTCCTAGGACGGCTGGGCACTGCAGGTCAGAGGGTGCCCGCCGGCCACTCTCAGAGGCAACAGCTTTCCCCTGGGCAGGACATTCAGAGCCCAGGGCAGGGTCTCTGCGTGCCTGTCAACTGAGGGCAGGTGCCTGAAGACAGGCCCACGGCACCTGGCCAGCCCCGCAGCCTCCTGGCCTCAGCACACAGCAGCCTGTGCCTCCCCTGAGCTCTCTGCTCAGCCAGCCTCGGGGGCTGGAGGGTGCACCATGTTCTGTGTCATCTCGGACTTAATGAAATTGTGTTGAAGCTGCTCCACTTGCCACACACCTCTGTGCTCTGATTAGGAGTTCCAGGCCGCTGCGAGCGGCATCGAGAGTCCGCTGCAGTCACATAGATGCCAACTCCCAGGAGACCTGAGCTGGCCCGGCCCGTCACGCCCGGCCTGGGGCTGCATAGCAGGACCGGGGCCCCCTAGGGCGGGTGAGAGCCGCCACCACGGAGCTGCCCAAGTCGACCCCTGAGCCGCTTCAGCTCGTGCTCCTACCCCACCAGCTGACCATCCTCCGCCTCCAGGGCTACTCCGGCCCTGCGTCCTGTTCACTGCTGCTGGGTCCCTGGAGCAGCCTCACCCTGAGGAGGGCTCTGCTGAGCCCAGAGCTGCACTGCAGGTGCAGAGGGGTGGGGGCGACCAGCCAGGGCAGGCAGGGGAGGGGGTCCTCCCGCCAGGGGGCCCTGCGCCCAGTGCTCAGCCCTGCCCCAGAGCCTGCAGCCAAGTCCCGGCCCAGCCTCCCAGAGCAGCCCCCAGGCCCCTGCCTCCGACCGCCCCACACAGCCACCGGCCATGCCCCGCGCTCACCCGGAACATCTGCTTCACCCGCTGGCGGGGCAGGTTCACATTGAGCTTGTGCAGCAGCTGCAGGACCTCGCCAATGCTCAGGCTGCCGTCCCCGTTCTTGTCGGCCTCGTCGAACGTCTGCTTCAGCCACTTTGGGGCCGCGTTAGGGCCAACACCAGTGCACGCCTGGCCCCGCCAGCCTGCCGTCCCCAGGGAAGCCCACGCGGGGGCTGGGTCCCCACCCGGCGTCCAAGGATATTGGTCCCGGGTGCGCTGGCGGCGGGCCAGGCTGTCCTCATCGCTGATGCCGGCCATGAGGTAGCGCAGGCCCGTGACCCAGGTCCGGGCCTTGTCCCCACTGGGGGAGACCAGGTCCAGCGACTCGCGGTGGCTGCCGTGGTAGATGCTGAAGCAGCAGTTGGGGTCAAAGCTGCCGTCGGGGTAGCGCTGGAATATCTCAGACTGCCGCCCCTCGCTCACCTCCTGGATGGAGTCAATGGAGACTGCGGGCCGGGGGAGGGCAGTGGGTCGGTCCCAGGGCCGGGACAGAGCATCCTGGAGCAGGTGCCCCACGGAGCCCTCCGCCAGAACCTCCCCCGGCTCTGGACAAAGGAGGACCCCTCCCCGGGTTGCTCTGTCCCTCGGGTCCCAGGTACCCCCAAGAGGAGGGGGACGGCCTGCCCGCAGCCGACAGCCCAGCTGGCTCGGGGCTCCGCGTGTGCAGAGCCGTGCAGCGAGGCAGCCGACAGCCACTTCCACCTCCAGCTCCAGCCCATGCATCTCTGCTCCACCAAAGGCAGCAGCCACCCAGGTGTGGAGATCCCGTGGTCACCTTCAGGGTGAGCCAGGCAGAGTGGGCGTGGAGCTCAGCGCTGGGGCTCCACAGAGCCTCGCCTTGAAAGCTAACTCTGGAAGCTCTGACCATGTTTCCGAGACTCCTCCCAGTGCAGGCCGTGGGGCCGGAATCTCTGAGCTCAGCACAGCCGGGACCCCAGCACCCCAGCCAGTCAGCCTTACTCTGGCTCCCCGGCATGTGTGGCAGTGGGGACATGGATCAGGGCCTGGTCCAGACGACAGCTGCCCCATGCTGTTCCTTCCTCCACAGGACTCCCCAAGGCCAGGTGGGCTCCTGGCACCAAACTGGGTCTTGGGTGGGTGGCAGGAGCCTGGCCAGCTGCCATTCTGCCCCGCACCCTCCTGGACCTCCACGTCCTGCATGGCTCAGCACACTAGGAAGTGGCCCATGTCGCCTGTAGAATGCCAGCTCTGTGGCAGAGTGGTGCCCAGCACAGAGCCGATGCACCCAACTGGGCACCGGGGCTCCTCTGGCTCCCCCCAGCCCAAGGGACAGTCACCCTGAGGCAGCCAGATGGGACAGGTGAGCCAATGCCACCCAGCAAGCTGTGCTCCGCCCAGTGCACCGCTGTGGGACCTTCTCCCGGGGCCTCTTGGGCTCTGCAGCAGGGAGATCTCCCTCCTGGGATCTGTGGCAGTGCCCTTGGCAACTTCAGGGCTGGGCCCTGCTTGACCCAGGCCATGCCCATGGAAAGAAGGTGCCAGAAATGCCCCTTTCCCAGCCTGCCAAACCTTCATGGGTCTCTCCCTGCTGCAGGGCCTCACCTTGCCCTCTGCCCCAACCCTGCCCATCTGTCCCTGCCCAACGCTGTCCAGCTCAGTGGCCCCTGCAGACCCCCGGCGTCCCCTGTGGCTGCCAGGGCCAACACTTGGCACCCAGGCCCACCCCAGGGTGCCCAGCTGGGTTCTCAATCCCTCACCCCAGCATATGGCCCGGGGCCACCCAGGGTCCTGCGTGGTGGGCTGACCCCTCCCACCCCGCAGCCCAGAGCCGGGGAGCCCCAAAAGGCCACTCACTCTTGGCCTTCTCATTCTTGCGTGAGGGCCTCCAGCGCAGGCAGGAGCGGTGCTCATCCAGGTAGTAGAAGCGGACCAGGCCCTTGGAACTGCCGCGGAGCTTCACCATCTGCGTTCCCTCCTGCATGGCACTCATGCACCGCTCCACTGGACACAGACGGACGACTCAGAGGGGCTGTGAGCAGCCTGCACCCAGGGTGCCTGAGGGCCACCCCGCCCGCGCACTGAGGCCAGGGATCAGCCACCAGGTCACTCGGCGCCCCTGCTGACAGGGACCACAGCCACCTGGTCCCAGGGCTGTGCTCCCGCCCATTCAGCCAAGGCCCAGCATCACCCCATGCCCGGCCCCAGGGCAACTGTCACCCAGACCTCGAAAGCATGAGGGCCCCGGCCCAGGACGGAGCAGCGGCCCAGCTGGCTTGCGGCAGCCTCAGAGCAGAGCCACAGTGCTGGGCACAAGGTAGGTCCCAGGCAGGCGCCAGCCCAGTGCCCAGCCTGGCTGCTGCCCCAGCATGGGCCGATCCTGAAGACCATCACACCTGCCCTGCCCCTTCCTCTCCTCCCCAGGAAAGTCACTGTCCCTGCACCTGGCACTGCTGGCTCTGCAAGCATCCACTCCCAGGGCCACCCGGGGGCTGTCAGAGTGGGGCTCGGGGCTGGGAGCCAAGGCATCGGGCCCGAGTGCACACCTGGCCCTCCTGGAGACACTGCCTCCTCTGGCCTCTCTGCCTCCTGTCCTGGGCTCTGGGGAGGTGGTCCCAGCCCAGGGACAGGTCAGCCCCCACTCAGGCCTGCACGCGTGCTCCTAGGAAACCAGGACCCAGAAGGTCCCACACCAAAGCTCAGAGAAATCCAGGCCCCAAGGTCTGCACAACGGGCTCTGGGTGGGCATCTAGGTGAGCAGCGCCAGCCCTGGTCTCCTTGGAAGAGGCTGATGCTGACGTGAGGACGCCCGAGACAGGGACCGTGGGAGCACAGACAGGCCCGAGGGGCCTGTGGCAGGGACCTGGGAGGTGGCAGCTGGAGGAAGCCCTCTGCCAGCCGGAGCCCCCTCTGCCGGCCCGGGGCCCACTCGCACATCCCCCTGGGCCTGGTGTGCTGGGCCTCCAGGCTCTGCTCCAGGGGTTGGGTGACTTGGGCGTTTCCGAGTGGCTGAGGGGTGAGGGGCCGACATCGAGACCCACAAGGGAAGCACAAGGCAGCAGGAGGCTGGAGGCCTGTGTGGGCAGGCGGGAGAGTCCACGGGCTGCCTGAACGGTCCCCCACCCCACGAGGCTGGCCATCCCCAGCCAGGCCTCGCCCCGGACCCTTACTTCCTGGGCCGAGCTGCCACCATGGCGACACCACCACACTCCCTCCAACCCAGAGCAGTGCCTCGGCCAGGCAGGCCACCGCGCCTGTGCCCAGCTGGTGGTGGATGGCTGGGGGCCAGGCATCCCTGAGTGGTGGCCCTGCCAGCATGGGCCCGACTGCCAGCCGCACCCTGGGCCAGTCCACCTGCCCGCAGCGTCCCGGAGCCCAGGAAGAGCTTCATGGGGGCAGGCTGCTGGCCCCGCCCTGCCCACCCTCTGCCAATCCCCCACTAATCCCGCCCGCTGTGCTCCAGCCCAGCTGCCCAGAGGATTTAGGCCAGGGGAACACCCAGCTGCCAGGAGAGCCGCCACTCACCCCAAGAAGGCCCGGGCCGCCAGACCCACATGCAGCAGGACAGACGGGGTCTCCCGGGACCCAGGGATGCAGCTGCAAGGTCTGGGGACCCCATGGCTCGCCCGGTGGTGGGGCCTTAGAGCCCTCTGTGGGGCGCATCCCACACACGGCCTGCCCTGGGTGCCTGAGACAGGTGTCTGTCCCTCTCTGTCCTGGGCCAAGCTCTTACCCCTACCCAATCCCTGACCCTTACAGGGACCTCCAAGTGGATCCCGGATGTCCCGGGCAAGCAAGAGGACCAGAGGGCAGGATGGAAGCAGCAACATGTGCTCCAAAGCCCAGGCCCAGGACCTGAACCTCCTCCGCTGCAGGCCTCGGCGCAGGGCCCCTTTCTGCTGTGACTCCTGGCCAGGCAGGATGGCGTGGGTCCCTGAGCCAGGCCCTCTCCTCCACCTCACTCCAGGGCCAGGGCTTTGCAGTTCCACCCCAAGGCCCAGCCCCAGACCGACCTTTCCCCTCGCCCACGGGACCAGGGCCCTGGAGTCAGCCGCCACTCTGGACCTATCCATCGCTGCACTGTGCCCTGAGGCTGGCATGCGGGGAGGCTGCCCCTCGTGATGTCCTCCAACCCAGGCAGGAGCCCCATCTACCAGCAAGGGCCCCAGACCCCGGCCCGGTCACATCAGCTGCAGTGCTGGCTAGGTGTGCTGGGCTGCCCTGGTGGGAGGAGGGGACACGAGAGTCCTGCCTCACCCACCTCCCTGGCCAGGCCCTGTGCTGACCACATGCCCAGCCAAGCACCACTGGGATGAGGATGTTTGGTGCTCTCGCCCAAGCCCGCCCTGTCATCCCAGGCCTGCCATCCCTGCATCCCTGGCAACAGGAACCCTGGCCACAGAGAACCACGACCCACCAGGCCAGATCGGATATAATCAGCTCAAAGCCAAGCCCAGAACCTAATTAGGGGCCCTGGTAGAGGCCCTGCCTCGTTTTCCAGCTGGAGGTCAGCAGGCAGCCTCCCCTCTGCTCGAATCAGATTAGGGACGCTTTCGCCTCCAGGACAGGAAGGGGCTGCAGTCCTGAGAGTCCCTGGGAGCCCCCTAGAATCCCCGTGTGTGAACCCCAGGGGCTCCAGGCAGCCAGGCCGGGACACAGGTCCAAGTACCAGGAGACACTGGGGCCACCAAGGACCCGAGGCTGGGTGAGAGGCCGCAGCCTCCTTGTCTGCCCCGTGGCATCAGTGTCCCTCCCCACAGTCAGGGCACTCACTTCCTGCTCGGAGCCCACGGAAGACTGGGTCAGGAAGCCTCAGTTCCCCTCTGCCCGCAGGGTGCCCTGGCTTGGGCCCAGCCTAGGGGCGCTCCTGCCCCACCCCCACAAGGCCCCCCAGGGCAGCCACCCTTGCCCCTACCCTGTCTCACTATTCACCCAGGGAGGGGCCAGGGGCCTGGGGGGCCTGGGAGGGGCACAGGTGTAGCCCCCACCCCCAGGCCCCTTGACTCCTCCTCGGCAGTGCCAGGCCATAATCCTCTGCTGACCAGGCAGGTGGAGGCCCAGCTAATCCACCCCATGCACGGCTCTGCAGGGAGTCCCCCCACTGCCTTGGGGCCAAGGTGAGCCCACCCACTCTGACATTCAGGGACAGGTGGACACAGGCCAGTGGGCAGGGCCAAGTGAGGCAATGCACCAGACAAGGACATCACAAGGGAGTGCCCAGCCTGGGCAGCTGTGCCACCCTGAGACCAGCATGGCCAGAGGACACGGCCCGGTCACTGCCCCCAGTACAGGCGCAGAGCTGATGGCTGGACTGCCAGGCGGGGACCCACCTCGCTCCACTCCTCGCCAAGTGCAGCCAACTGCATGCTGGGGTTCGGACCTAAAGCTTCTCCTGCTGGCCCAGGGCCTGGCACCTGCTGCCTTGGGCAGCCAAGGATGCAGCACCCTGCTCGGCCATGGCCCACACCCAGGCAGCCCAGGCTCCCCCAAATCTGGACCAGGGGCCCAGGACTGACAGCTGTTGAGGACCAGCTGCTGGCACCAGCCCTGCACCCAGACCAGGGCTCCCACCCTGGCCAGGGAGGGACGGTGTCCACCACAGCTCCCCAGGGGCCCTCCCTAGGTGGTGCCCCAGGACTCCTGTGAGCCCGGGCGCTCTGAGGACCTGCTCCCCACCCTGTCCCCAGCAGGCACTCACTGGACACAAACATGTGATGGGCACAGTGTGCACATGAGCCCACAGTCACCGCTACCCTCATGCCCAGGACAGGCAGAGAGACAGCTGGAGCCACCCTGGACTTGGGAGAGGGCATGGTGGGCTCATGGGGCTCCTGTCAGCCTAGCCTCAGTGGCTGCTGGGGAGCGGAGCTCCGCCCCCCACGGCAGCACCTACCCACCCATGCCTCAGTTTCCCCACAGTGCCAAGGCGCACCTGCCTCACCCACACTCCTTCCTCCTCAAGCCTGCACAGGACCCAGAGGCAGCCATGAGGAGGAGGGAGCACTGGTGATGCTGGTGGCGGTGCCGTGCGGTTGTGTGCGCTGAGGATCAGTCTTGTCCTACAGCAGCAGGTGACCTGGCCTCGGGCCACCATCCACAAGAGGCCAGCAGCAGCTCAGTGTCCCTGCCTCTTCCCCGGGGAAAGCTGGAAAATCAATTTAATCCTCCAACAAAACCCACACAGTGACACCCATGGGCTTAGTGGTGCACGCGTGTGCCTGTGAGTGCACACAGACACACACACACACACACACACACACACACACACACACGGGGCACCTGCAGGTGTGCAGCCCCCTCCCAGGAGCAGGGCACAGCAACTGCACAGACTAACTCAGAGGATGTGCAGCCGGGCTGAGGGACCGTTCCCGCCTCCCTGCAGGGCACCACCGCACGGGCCCCTGGGCCTGAGCCCCGGGCCTCTGTCCCTCCTCTGTGCCTTGCAGGGGGCCTTCCCGTGTCCACCCCACTTAGAGTGACCCCGTCTCTGTGGGACATTGCAGAGCTGGGCTCCTGCCCTTTCCCCGCCCCCACTCTGCTGGGGCCCAGCTCTGCATACAGCAGGTGCTCAGACTGCTGTGGAGAGAAGGAAAGCAGGCAGCCTCCTGCCCCAGTCCTGTGGCTGCACCCGCTGGGAGAAGCCCAGCCCCTGGCCAGCTCCGCTCGGAGGGAGGGAGGGATGGGCCCACACACATATGGCCGAGATTATTTAAACGGCTGGGAGAAGCGACTCGTCCCCCCCGCACGTCTGGGTGCCTCCTCCCCAACTATTTTTACTTTATCAGGGAGCGTGAGTCGGCTCCCTCCAGCCTCCCCCAGCAGGACCCCATGGTGGTGCTGCCTGTCCCTCCAGGACACCAGAGCCAGGGCTGTAGGGGTCTCAGCAAGGGCAGTGAGACAGTGGCCACTGCCCATCCCTGGGTTAGTGACCAGTCAGCAAGCCAGGCCCGCCCCAGACAAGCTGGGAAGAGCCACACACACCCTGGTCCTCCAGCTGGGCCTGC